GCGGCCGCTGTCAGGGAATCGCAGGCGGCCAATGGAACCCGGGAGCCGCCGCTGCTGCTGAGGCGGCGGTGTCGGCAGCCCGACCCCGACCGCCCGCACCCCCTCCGCCGGGGTCCCCCGGAGGTGAGCTCCTCCTACCCCGTGAGTGCCCCCTGCCCTGTGTGTGAAGGGGTCCCTCTCCCACCCTGTCCCGCACAGCGTCCCCCGCCCCCACACCTGGGTTTGGCTACAAAACTGCCCTCCCGGTGGCGGCTGCACCCTGGGTCCCTTCTCCACCCTTTCTTCCCAAGCCTGGGGTCCTCCTCTGCTTTTTGGCTTCCTCTTCTGTTTAGCTCCTCCCTCTGCCCGGGGATTCCCCCCCTCCCTCACTCTTATCCCTGTTGCCGCCGTCCCGAATTATTTTAAGTCGTCAACCCTTTCCCCATCACGACGCCTTTTATAATGTCCATCCATGCTGTCTTTCCTCGTTGTCTCTGCTCCAGCCCCGAATCTTTCCATGGCCTCCGCCTTTACCCCTTTTCCTATTTTGTCCCTTTCCTCCGATGTCTCTATGCCACCCCAGCACTGGGTTCCCTTTTCCCTGATCTAAAGGTTGTGGCCCTCTCTTCCTCTGCTGCTTCTGATTCCGTTACCCCACTGCCACCCACCCACCCAGCTCCTGGCTTCCAAGAATTGTCTGTTCCCTTCTCCTGAAGGGATCTAGGCTGTCACCATCATTCCCAAAGTACTACTTACATTCTCCTTTGACCTTAAGCCTTACCCTTCTTCTCTGGAGTGCTTTATGATTCCTGTAACTTTCTCTAACTTCCCTCTACCCTTCCTCAATTCCCCCAACCTCTGGAGGTTTGTTCCTGTAGAGGAGAGATCTGACAGTGCCCCTTCCCATTCAGGATTTCCAACTTCGACACCTCCCTCGAGTTTCAAGGGTTTTGCTGATCCTTTTGACACTTGGTTCTCTTTTCCCTATGGTCTTTACGTGTTCTCTGTCATACTCTTTGCCTTTACATACCACTTATTTCTGGATCAGCTAAACCTTGAGCTAAGAAGAAAATGTGTTGGGAGGAGGGGGAGCCTCAGCTGTCTCAGGCTTTTCTCTGGACAGTAGGGTGTTTCTGAAGGATGGAGCAAGTTTAAAAGAAGTCCCTATCAGATTACACTTTGTTGGAGGAACGTACAGTCCTGCATGAAAACTGAATGAGGTTGTGAGAAATTTTGTTTTGGATTATTTAATTTTAGGCTTGTCTTAAAGGGATCACAAAATAAAGTCTCCTCCCACTCCTAAGAGGAATCAGTTTACTGTCTGTGGCTTCACTAGAATGGTTTTGGTTGATTCCTTAAGAGTTTAGGCCTGGAGTGGGGTTGGTCAGGGGGTAACTGGGGAAAGGAACATGAGACAATGGAAAGAGCTTGTATATTCAGAATCAGGACTCCTGAGTTCAGCATGTGACTTCCTCACTTGACCTTTAGAGTGACTTTTTTTGGGAAAATGGTCCACTCTATAGGCATCAGTGCAGTAATAGGCTTATAGCAGGATGTGGGTTGGGGGAAAAAATTAGTCTTAATTATTTGTTTACAAAACATTCTGGGTTCCTCAGACACAAGGTATTTATGAGTAGTGATTTAGTTGTTCTGAGAATTTTCTTTCATTCTGGTCTCTCTGTTGGGCCTTTCTAGTCTTACAACCATGGGAGTAAATCAGTTTGAAAGACAAGCTCCAGGCCAGCTTCTTTCATCTGCCTTGCTTTTTTCCCCCACTGCTGTAAGTTGCTGACCACCTTTGCTGTTCCTCTTGTACTTGAGCCGTAACTCCAGATTCTGTAGATGGAAAGTATGTTTGTGGGAAAGTCCTTTGAAGAAACTGGCTGAAAAGGAAAACTTGGAGTGAGTTAGGCCTTAGGAAACTAGTTGCTTCCTTGTATGCCATGTCCTTTGGCCTGTGATAGTGAAGAGAGCATATGAAGTTCCATTCATCTTCCTACTCTACGCCTGTTTGAAAGTAATCATGCTGCCTCATCCCACTTCTCCCTTTGTCTCCCTCCTCGTTAGCCAGTGTCCAATCTCATAATTCCCCTTTTTAGGAGCAGCGTCACTGCTTGGAAGCACCCCCAAAGAGAAGTCATATTTCCCCTACTTTCCTTGCTTCCTTCTCAGCGCTGGGTCCACACTGCACACGAACATGTTTGTTGAATGCCATCTAAAGCAGCAAATTGAGATTCTTTGATTTGGGGAAGAAGTTTGAGAGGGACCTCTCAGTAACTGGCATGAGACAAGAGAGGGCTTAGTTCAAGTGCATTTGGAGCTTGCAGCAGGAAGGAACAATTCAGAGAGAGGTGAGTGTACAGGTTGCTTCCTTTGCCATCTGTCTGTTACAGCAGGGGCTCCCAGAGCTGGCTTGGGCTGTCTGGCTGGAATCTGCTTATACCTAGCTCTATAGCCCTGAACAGAATTCTCAGCCTGATTCAATATTGACTTAACTACCCAGAGACCACTGCTCTCCCTACCTTCCTGTTGGTAGCTTGAGAATGCCCTCTCCCCTGATGCCACCCTGCCTTGGGGCCTTGGGTAAGTGTTCACCTGGTTCCTGGTAGGGCTTGAGCCTGTTTGACTGCTCGGCTCTTTGTTTCTACAGGGAGAAGCTTGTACTCAATCTCCGTTTTTACCGTTAAGGTTAAGGGGGAAAGATGAGCTCAGACCTCCTTAAAGAAAGGTTTGAGTTAAACCTTGAGACGTGAAGAGGAAATTCTCAACCACAGAACAGGCAGCTTAGGATGATTAGGAGTCTCTTTAGAAGAGCAACTTCTTTTAAAAATTACTACTAAAGGCATACATGCATTTGAACAAATCCAGTTGTACTTAAAGAGTTTATGATGAAAGTCAATACTCCCTTTCCCTTCATCCCTACTCCTAGAGTTAACGTCTTAATTATTTCAGTGTTTCTGACAGTTATTGCCATAGCCTTAGATAAAATGCTTGTGCCTTTGTTTCTTGGTTTATTAATTGTTACAAAAGAAGATTGCACTTTAGAAGATTCACACCTCTTGCTCATATATTGTCATTTTTATTTCTACTGGAAGCCTGTGTAACTTTTTGTTTGTTTGTTTTTTGGCTGCGTTGGGTCTTCGTTGCTGCGCTCAGGCTTTCTCTAGTTGTAGTGAGCGGGGGCCACTCTTCTTGCGGTGCGCAGGCTTCTCATCACGGTGGCTTCTCTTGTTGCGGAGCACGGGCTCTAGGCATGCGGGCTTCAGTAGTTGTGGCACTTAGGCTCAGTAAGTAGTTGTGGTTCATGGGCTCTAGAGTGCAGGCTCAGTAGTTGTGGTGCACAGGCATAGTTGCTCCGCGGCATGTGGGATCTTCCCGGACCAGGGCTCGAACCTGTGCCCCTGCATTGGCAGGCGGATTCTTAACCACTGCACCACCAGGGAAGTCCCCTGTGTAACTTTAAATAACATTTGAATCTTCTGTTCTTTCCATTAACTTTCAGTAACCTCTCTTAACTCTAACTTGTAGGATGAAGATATTGGCTCCACGGCTCTTTTTTCCAATTCACATGATCCATCTCAAAGGGGTCTTTTTTTTTTTTTTCAAAGGGATCTTTTAAAAGGAAGTGGAAAATTGAGCTCACCTATCCACTTGGAGGCAGAGCACTAAATTAGATGATCTCTTAAGGGTCATTCTATGAAAATACAGAAACATATAAAAACATGAGGATTGATCTGAAGCAATTGTATTTATCTAGTTCATGAAAAAAGATTTTAAGAAGGGAATGGTGATTAACCCAGTGAGAAAATTGATTTGGGGCTCTTTATATCCTGTCCTACCAGAGAACAATCCACCAAGTCCTTTAACGGAGGCCATGGAGGGTTGTTTGCCTAGAATCTTTTGAGGTGATGAGAGGCGGGAAGCCATGTTAAGTGATAGCATTCCCTCCCCCCCAGAGTCTTCTGCAGACATTTACTTAAATGCTCAGTCGCAGAACACATGCACATGTACCCTCTCTATCCTGTTTCACTGCTGCTGTTCTCTGCTTTGCCCTGAACAACCCTCTGATGCTCAGCTGAAGATTCCCTGCATTGCCCAGACATAACGTGTGGAGCCAGTCGGTTTTCAACATGCCCCCCACACCCCCCAACACACACCCCTTTCCTAGAAGCCAGCTGCTAGTCTGGGGCGGGTTGGCCTCTTCAGTTCCCTTCCAGTCTCCCTGGAAGGCCAGTTTAGGCTCCCAGTGTGAAATGTGGAGCCTCAGTTGTCAGAATGTCCTTGAGAGCCATAGGAGTCATTTGATCCTAAAGGTCTGGATTTCCTTCTCTTGTGTTTTTCTTGTTCTCTGACTTATAAGGGGAAGGGTGGTGAATACAGAAACTGTTTCTTCCTTTTTCGCTTTCTAGTCCTTTCACTCTCTTTAGAATAGTTACTTATCAAAGCTGTATTTTCTTTGCATTTGAAAATGAATGAATTGATGTTGAGGATCATCTCTGGATTTAGGTTTGGGAGAATCCATTTCTTATTGCCTAAATTGCCAAAACAACCTAAATTTCCTTCAACTCCTCCTTTTCCCCATGACTTGCTTCAGATGCAGGCAGTTCCTGAGGCTCAGAAAGGCCAGGAGGGAGGCCTAGCTCCAGTTTGGTAGTTTCTAGTGGCAGAGCTGCCTATACCCGAGAGGAGTTTGGTTTTCCTCCTTCTCTTGACATTGTCTGTTCCCTGGATAGTAGAGGCTGCCAAATTGGGGACCTGTTCTATTCAGCGGGAAGTCCCCTGAATACTGTGATGTGGGATTTCTAACTGAGCCCTGGAATAAAAGAAATGATGGTCTCCTTTCCTTCCTTCCTGGTGCCAGTAATAATCCCAATTGTGACCATTTCCAAATCTTCTGTGTTTCCTAGTGAAGTCTGAGATGCTGTTTGTGGAGAATGTCTGAACTTCATTTCCCTTGCAACTTTTGAAAAGTAGATTTTTAAGGAGCTTTTGGTGACTTGGAAGTCCCTGGAGTAGAAGAAAAGAGAAAAATGTGCCAAGCATAGAGAGATTGAGAAAAGAGTTGGTTGTATAAAGTGATTGAGGCTGTTGTGTGAGTTCCTAAGCAGACCTAAAAGGTAGTGGTCCCAGTTGAATTCGAGTGACCCTCTGGTGCAGAGTGTCCTACAAAGGTGCGGCAGGGAATGACTAAAGCTTCCTTCTTATTATTCCTGCGCAACCCATAGTTGCGAGTAGAGACAGATCCGCACAGGCAGCCATGCTGGTTCTGCTGCTCAGAGGGCACTGCCTAATTTGGGAGAGAGCATAGTGAAAGAGTTGCCACCTTTTTGCTGATCCCAAGCTCAAAACTGCATCAGAGAAATTAAATTTGGGGATGAACTTCTTGCTTGACAGAGTTAGGAGAAAGATAAACCAAAGTAGCCATTTTTGATGCTTTCTGAGAACTTGAGTTCCCCATCTGTCTTCCTGCAAAACTTTAGTGGTTGACTGCTGGGAGTCAGGGAGCTGTACTATATATTGTTGGGCAAATGAAGGTAACCTTGAGTCTTAACATTTCAGAGGTGCAAGAAGAGGCACTGGAAGAGTGGCAGTGGAAACCGGGGCTTTGCAGAGTGACTAGAGAATCTGTACCTTGAGCCTCCTTCCACTTACCCAAAGTATATGCACCCATGTTCACTAGTGTCAAAGCTGATGTCACTATCAGTTGGAAATTACCTGCTCCACAGTTGCTTCTGCCTTCCTCTTGCTCATGCTCTTGAGTGTGTCTTAGATTCACTCTATTTGTATTTTTGTGAAGAGGCCTCTGAGTCCATTGCTGACTATACAGCCAGACTCCGGAGCTGGGTTGATCTGACATTAACAGTGTGCCTCTCCCAGTCCTTGCTTTGAAGTTTCCTCCTGTTCTGCACTGATTCTCCTGATTTGGATTTGGTGAGGCTCTGAAGAATCATTGTAGAACGGCAATGGCTTTTATCAACAGTGTTCTCTCACTGACTTTCCTTCTGAGAGTCCCTCCAGAGAGGGATTCTTGGTTATGTGATTCCTGCCTCTCTGTTCTTTGGACATTCTAGACACATGAGTCCCAGCTTGATATCTTTTTGCCTTCTCACAGCCCCTCCAGTTCTTGGAGTGTGTGTATGAGAATGGGGAAAGTAGTGTTGGGATAATTGTTTTGGAAGAGTCACAAGTAATGAGTATTAACTGCAATTCACTTCCCTTATAAACAACATGTGTGTGTGCACACGCATTGTTTACTAACCTTTTAGGTGATTAGGATTCAACTAGCATTTGTTAAGTACTACTGTGCTCCAGGGACTGTTAGATCCTTTTACACACATAAAGTTATTTATTCTACGCAGCAACAATAGAAGTAGATATGTTTTTTCCCATTTTGCAGTTGAGGAAACAAACTTAGACGATAATGTGGTTTGTATAAGTTTATACATCTCATAATGGCAGAGCCAGGATTTTGAACATCAGCCTATTTGACTCCAAGTTCAGGAGTTTTTCCACTATCCTTCAGCTGCCACAGCACTTGAGAAAGGGAGAATGATGTCATGAAGTCAGACAAACAGAGAAATGACACACTTCAGCAGGGATGATGGTTGTTTTAGAGCTTTTTCTTCTCAGTGAAGCCTGGTGTGGTATTTCTTGGGAACTCTGAGTCTAAAAGGGAAGGTAAGAAATTATCTGTAACTAGAAAAATACATGAAGATTTTAACACTAAATAAAGGTGAGATGTTCAGGACCAGTGTATGGAGTGTTATATGAGTAAGAAAATACAGTTCAGAGGGAAAAGGAAAAGGTTATTGGCAGGCATTTAAAGGGAGATATGGAGATAGAAAAGCATTTGAAGAGTTGGGGACAAGGGAATTAAAACCAGAATTGCTTCCCAGTCTACCTGAAGTATTTGTAAACCTATATGAACAAAACACATATAAAGCAGCATTCTGCAAATACAAGTTAAGAATAAAGGCTAAGCTGAGTAACTAAGTGCAGAAGGAATGAAGAGTAATGTAGCAATCAGAAGTGGAGGGAGGTAGTCACAGAAAGCTTCCTGGGAGGAGAGGACTTTTCATCTGATTTTGAATGAGTCCAGGAAGACATAAAGAGAGGAGGTGCCAGGGAAGGTTTCATGGTGAAGGGAAGACCTGAGGATGGCACCACTAACCAGTGTGTGTACGTGTCTCCCTTTCTGTTCCTTTCTCCCTCCCTCCTTCCTTCCGTAGCCTGGAAGCTTGAAGTCTGGCTGTGGCCATGGGGGACACGGTAGTGGAGCCTGCCCCGCTGAAGCCAACTTCTGAGCCCACTCCTGGCCCATCAGGGAACAATGGGGGCTCCTTGCTAAGTGTCATCACGGAGGGGGTCGGGGAACTGTCAGTGATTGACCCTGAGGTGGCCCAGAAGGCCTGCCAGGAGGTGCTGGAGAAAGTCAAGCTTTTGCATGGAGGTGTGGACATCTCTATCAGAGGCACCCCACTGGAGTTGGTCAATGGGGATGGTGTGGACAGTGAGATCCGTTGCCTGGACGATCCACCCTCTCAGATAAGGGAGGAGGAAGATGAGATGGGGGCCACAGTGGCCTCTGGCACAGCCAAGGGAGCAAGAAGGCGGCGGCAGAACAACTCAGCCAAACAGTCTTGGCTGCTGAGGCTGTTTGAGTCAAAACTATTTGACATCTCCATGGCCATTTCATACCTGTATAACTCCAAGGAGCCTGGAGTGCAAGCGTACATCGGCAACCGGCTCTTCTGCTTTCGTAATGAGGACGTGGACTTCTATTTGCCCCAGTTGCTTAACATGTACATTCACATGGATGAGGACGTGGGTGATGCCATCAAGCCCTACATCGTCCACCGTTGCCGCCAGAGCATTAACTTTTCTCTCCAGTGTGCCCTGTTGCTGGGGGCCTACTCTTCAGACATGCACATTTCCACTCAACGACACTCCCGCGGGACCAAGCTCCGGAAGCTAATCCTCTCAGATGAGCTGAAGCCAGCTCACCGAAAGAGGGAGCTGCCCTCCTTCAGCCCAGCCCCTGACACAGGGCTGTCTCCCTCTAAAAGGACTCACCAGCGCTCTAAGTCAGATGCCACCGCCAGCATAAGTCTCAGCAGCAACCTGAAACGAACAGCCAGCAATCCTAAAGTGGAGAATGAGGATGAGGTAAAATTCCCGGGAGGGACAGGGGTAAGCAAGGTGGCATGGAGACAGGATGTCTGACATAGGGTTACTCTGTCCTTTTCTCTCCCTCCCTCTGTTTCATTTCACCGATAAAAGCATGGAATGTTAGAATGGAAAAAGACCTTAGAATTCATGTATTCCAGCTGCCTCATTTTACAAAGGAAGAACTTGGAAACCCAGAGAGATAAAGTGACTTTCCTCAGGTCATATAGCTAACAGCACGGCTGATACTCCTGACTCTGTCCAATGTGTTTTTACTAAACTGCACTTGCATTCTCTTACTGAGAACTGTGGCAGAGACCCTCCCCAGCCTGACTTGAAACCTGGGATATCTACCAGGACCTCTCAGAGCAGCAACCATGGGGGGAGGAGAAGGGACCCTGTGTGTGAATTTTGTGTGTGCTGCGGGAGGGGAGATGTTAAGTAGAACCTCAGCTTCATTCTCCTAGCCGCCACTCCTCATAATCCCTCTCCCCCACTCCCTGAAGATCCTGCTGTTTGTTGACATGAGGGTGAGGTTCATTCCCTATCATTGAGGCATCTGCAGAATGCCCTCCCACCCGCCTTTCCTTGGGGGAAAGGATGTCTTGCTTGTCTTTTTCCCCTATCATTTGGGAGAAGCACAAAAGGAAGAGGGAAGCAGTCCTGGTAATAGAGTAAATCTTGGGCATACCCAGTGTCTAGTCAAGGACCTGAAACCTAAAGAAGAGAAAGCAGCAGTCAGGGTGTCCCATTTAGGATATAGAGCAGGGATGAGATAAAGCACATCAGTAGGTTATACCCACCTTTCATTCCATATCTGGACAGATAGCAGGGGAAGTTGCCCGGTGGACAACCAGTAGTATCAGTGACCTGATGTCCCAGCCAGACAATGGTGCCCCAGTCCCCACCCCACCCCCGACTCACCACCAGCCACGCTCCCATCCTGGCTGCCAGCCTAGCCTAGAAAAGAAGGGAGAAAAGAATGAGGAATTTGCGTTGTTGGAAAATGCATGTAGTTGTGCTGGCATCTGCCTCTGTGGGGCACATAACCCACCCACGTTTTTGATACAATGGGACTTCTTTCAACTAGAGAGAGGTCAGAGTGACTAGGGAAGGGAAAAGGCAAAAGCAGGGGAGACTACAGAGCCTGATCTCTCTGGAAATTCGGTATTTTATTATGAGAATAATAGTGAAGCTAAAGGAACTAACATTTATTGAGCACTTACTACGTGCCAAGCATCATGTCAGATACTTTACATTTAATCCTCACAACAACCCTAAGAGACAGGTATTATTTTACCATTGAGGAAACAGCTTAGAGGGGTTAGATGATTTGCCCCAGGTCTCTCAACCAGTGCATATCAGACCAGGCCTCAGCTGTCAGAGTCCATATGGGGAAGAACAGCCTAGGCCTTAGCCATGAAGGTTTCCACATCCATGCACAGGCAGAGCCCAGGTGTTCTCAGAACCAAAATAGACCATTTTCATTTCTGGTTGAGCTTGGCAGGGCAGCCCAGGGTCATGAAGGGAGGCTGTTGCACAGCAAGAAGAATCATCCAGAGCCGGTGGGACTAAGGTTGTGAAGTGTTTGGGACCTCCTCCTCTTGGGGCATCAGAGGGAGCCTGTATCAGTATGGGTGGGAGCAGCTGCAAGTGAATCCCTTGGTGCCTCTTGGCTTTTCTCTGCAGGCATTTTGTAGTTCTCATCTTAGGACCAGAAAAACTGAGGCCTCTGGCTTTTCTTACTCTGTGTTGGTCCTCGGTCCCTCTTCCTTGCGTCTAACTCCTGCCTAGGATGGGATTTGGGGTGATGCTGAGACACAGTTATTCTGTGAGTGCTTAAATCCTCTAGGTTGGCTTCTCCAGCTGCCATTCTTCCCAACCTGGCTCCTTTATCTTGGGTCAATAGATCCAGGAAAGGAAGGAGATACCACGTCCCCAGGCACTCCCATGTTATCTGATGCTGGCAGAAAGAGACACCTGAATCCACTGTGGCTCCTCAGGAAATGTGAGAGTGAGAGTCACCAGGAATCTAAGCATTGGAGTCTTCGGCACAGAGGTCTCTCCAAACCCCTTTGGCATTTTGAGGATACATCTTTCAAGACCTTTGTCTCCCAAATACCAAGGGAATTGTTTTTCTTTCTTTCTAATACTCCTTCTCCCCATCATGCAACATTTATTCACTCAACATATAGCTCTTGAGCTTGTATACTGTGTGGAGCCCTGCACTAGAGGCAGTGGAGGATGTAGGATAAAATGCTGTCCTTCACTCCAGGAACTTACAAGGGAGTATGGAGATCGCATTAACTAGGAAATTCTTTACTTTGTGGCTCTAGATTTTGTACCCTGAAACTTTACTGAATTTATTAGTTCTAACAGTTTCTTGCTGGAGCTTGTGACTCTCTTGAAATGTTGATTCCTGCGTATGAGGAGGAAGTATACAGCTTCCTAAAACAAAACATAATTATCTCAGGTCTGAGCAGAGACTCCAGAAGGAGAGACACACCGCTCCCCATCTCTCGCTTTCCTGTGGGTTCGGAGTTTAATCCTACCCTCCTGCCACCAGTAGGGAAGCTCAGGAGGGTGAAGAGAGGCCTCAAAGAAAAGGCCCAGGTGCTCATACAAGTCTCTTCCTGCCTGGGGTATCCCTACAGAGTTCTTCTCTGCCCAGATCTCACAGAAGGTTGTTTTCTTTTAATGAGGAATCCTTTACACTCTCCCCTACATTCAGAGGGCTCTAGCACTGATTCCTTCCATCTCCCACCATTCTCCACCCTTCCAAGCCCACTCCTTCAAAGCAGTTTCTATCAGCCTAGTCAGGGAACTCTGTTCAGGCAGTTTTGCAGTTGTAACCAAATGGTAAATATTCTGGCATAGGGTTGGGGGTGCAGGGGGCAGTAATTTAGCTGCTAGCCCCACACCCCACATAATGACACTTGTAGATCAGCTGTGTCTTCTCAGGGCTATAACCTTTGTACAGAGAAATATGCTGCATATCACACTGTAAGCCCCAGCAGGCCTTTCAGCCTAATAGAGTGTGATGTCAGCTTCTTGGCCTCAAGCTTTTCTCCTTGGAGCTGACTCAGTTTGAGTGACTCAAGCCTACAGAGTAGGAGAGAGGAGCAGGTCATGATATACCTCCCTTCCCCCAAGGCTGTTAATGAGTCAGGACCATCCTGTCTGTAGGAGAGTCAGCTGGAGCGTGGCTCATGGTACCAATATCCTGCCTGCTGTTCCTTCCCCACCCAGCTCATGAGTAAAAATTGAACCAGTAAGTCACCATAGCCTCTAGCATCCTCGCTGCCTCAATTCTCCCTCCCACCCCTACCCAAAGCAGTTGTTGCCTTGGGAGAGTGTTCGGCTTGGCTTCTCCCTCAAAGTGCCCCTCTCCCTAGGTTCTTCAAAGAAAGACCTGACTAGAGGACCTCCAGCCAGAATAGAACTTAAACCGTGGAATTGAATTAAGTAGTTGCTTGAGACGTGGATTGCAGAGTAGCTCAGTGACCACTGCCCTCCTGCCCTGGGAGTTCCCGGGACTTTGTCTCTGAAGTCCAGGCCCCTCGCTGCACATTTGTGTACACATATTGCCCCTTCTTCCTGCTCTGGGAGACCTTCGTGGACAGAACCCAGGATGGGCCTGTGCACGAGCTGCAGCAGAGCCGCTGAATGAGCTTCAGTACCGGCCCTTTCCCCTCTTTTGCTTACAGACACCAGTAAGACATAGGAATGGGGTGAGGTTTTAGCTAAATCCCCTGGGCTGGGACTAGGACAGCTGCTGCTGCTCAGCTACTCAGCTTTCTCAGATGGATTCAGCTGGTACCTGGCTCCCCAACTTATGTCAAAAAAATTGTAATTTATTGAGTATCATGTGAAATACCCTGATAGGAAGCCTACAGAAGTTTGGTAGGTAAGAAAGTTATTCATCCTTAACTCCCAGCAGCATCTAGCCCAGAAGTTTCATGCTCATGGGTCCATGGTATCCCTTGTCACATGATTGAAGGTTGGGATTAGGTTTCCCAGGGTGATAATGAGGCTGATTAGAGAGGAGATGTACCTAGCACTGAAAGTTTAGCTCTTCTGCTTCCTCCTCGATGTTTCCAAGAAGCTGGAGGAACATGGGATTTCCAGCGTGGGGGCCATGAAGCTTGTTAAATTGTGCTTCGATGGTGATCTCCATGGAGAAGGGGTTGGTTGAGAGCATGTGAGTGGATGAAGAGAAAGCAGGGAAGCTTGGCAGCACGGTTACCTCCCTGAGGCATCCAGTTTTAGGATTTGTCCCAGAAGGAAGACTTGTGCAGGCAAGAATAGAAGAGAAGAAAGTGAAAAGCAGAGGACAGTGTCTCTTCACCCCTTCTGACCTCAAGGTTTACACTAGCTTTCCAGCATCTTCCACAAGTGTCAAGATTCTGGGCAAGTGGCATTTGTGTGTTGACTTTCTTTCATTAAAGCGGAAAGGTAGAGAGCTACACAAGAGAAGCAGTTATGATCCAAGTTGGAGCTAAATTCTTTGCCTTTGTCTCTCTCCCTTCCCTCCCCGCCCCCTCCTTCTCCCCTTGCCCTCTGGCCCTTTCCCAGGAGCTCTCCTCCAGCACCGAGAGTATTGATATTTCATTCAGTTCCGTAAGTGGGGCCAGGCTGGGACTGGGTGGCAGGCTCCCCCCATGGCCGCATTTCCTCTCCGTCCCCAGGTCTTCTGAGTCCCCAGGCCAAGGCTGGAGTTAAAAGGTGCCTTTTCTTCCTGGGACATCAGCTCCTCCCTCCCAGGCCTCCCAGACCTGGAGGAGCCCCCTGCTGTTTATTGCCAGTGCTCTGAGCCCAGGCTGAGTGGGGCTCAGCTGATCCTTCTCCCAGAGACAGCTGGGATGCAGTGCAACTCAGCGCCCAGCTCCTGGGTCTCTAGAGCAAACAGCTGGGAGAGAGGTAGAATTTATCCCTGGATTGGAGCCAAAAACTGCTTGGCAGGAAACCCTGAGGATCCTGTTTCTCCCACCCAGGACCCTTTCCCCATGGCTTCTGCCATCAGACCATCAAACACTTATTCAGTGTCTTCCAAATGCTAGGCCCTGTGCTGGGTGAGCTGACCCGAAAAGCAAACAGGATTTGGCCTGAAGGAAAGTTTTACCTCCCCACAGCCAGTTTTCTTTTCAACTTCAACCACATTTCTTCCAGGTCTGAGTTCTTCCCTTTCCCAGCTCACTGCCCACGATGTTCCTTAATCCTCATTCTCCTTTCTTGTTCCCTCTGAACTAACCCCTGGCCCTCTGGTCCCACAGGGTCTCGGACCTTGTTGCTGGGCAGAGACGTGAGAGGAAATGCTGGACCCTCTGGGAGTTTGGATGATTTTTTTACACTTTATTTTTGATTTGTCTACCCAATCAGTTTGTTCTGTGCTGATTCCCTTTCAGTCATGATTGTGGCAGTGCCTCTCTCTCAAGGCCTGGGGTCGTATTTCCAACATGCTGATGTGACTTAGGGGCCCCTGACCCAAATTCTGAATTGAGGATGGGAAGGAATTCTGTTGTTTCTAATCTGAGATAACTATGAATTGTTTGGGGTGGAGGGTCCTTGGTACCGTGACCATTTGCCACCTGAGTGGATGGATTAGGAGATAAGGATGAATGAAGGAGTGAGTCTCCAAATTTCCTTTTCCGTTCTTTCTCTTTCTCTGTTAAGCCCCTGGGTTATTTCCAGGGACCACAGAGGTCTAGTTCTATTGTCTTCCTGTCTTTATCTCTGTTCAACCCTGCCTCCCAAAGCATTCCTGACTGATTCAGACACCCTGTTTTTCATTATTGTATGGGGACCTGAGCCAGTCCCCTGTGGGGTAGAGGCTGAGAGATGAGCTGTCCCTTTGAACCCTGGCTCTGTGCACATGCAGAGGTGGGCATGGTACTGCCCAGCTTTCAAAAGAAGTTCTTTTTTGCAGTGTGAGGGAGTGAGGGTAGAAATTCTCACTCAGGAAACTAAGCAAGACACACAGAGAGGGAGAGAAGCCTGGTGAGTGAAATACTACTGTTTCTATAAGAGGAAGAAATACTGTTCTTATCTAGGTGAGGAGAGATGGAACGGGGTGGCTCTCCTGATAAAATGCCCCTTACGGTAGAAGGACTTAGGGTGGGAAAAGAGCCCTTCTTCCTGTCTAGCTGAGTCCATCTTTTTCCCCATCCCCGCCTTACTCCCCAGACTGACTCTGCCCTTTCTGAGAATGAAGTGCCCAACGTGATCAGCCAGTTTCACAGGAGGGAGCTAATGTGGGGAGCCTAGTCCCTGAGAGGTAGGGGAAGAGGATCCAAGGAGGATTCACTGAAAAAGACAGGTCTTCAGGGCCATCATCAGGCTGAAAGGAGCTATTGTTTTCTCCACCCACCTGCCCACCCCTACCTCCCTCCATCTGCTTTTTCTTTCCCCCTTGATCGTTCCCTCATTAGTGCAAACTCAGCTCATCCTTTCCTCATCCCCTGCATGTGCATTGACCCTTTGTGAGAGATTGTGGGGTGGACAGGGGGATGCCGTGGAAAGCATCAAAAGTCACTTATGGATTGAGTCCTCCTTTGAAAGGGGAGATACTGACTCGCAGTTCCTCTCCTTAGCCTTGTGGGCCCTGGCGGAGACCCAGCCCAGGCATCCAGGTGGGGAGAGGGTCAGCCTCATTCTTGAGATGGGTGAAGCACTTCAGGTGTAAGCAGCATTTCTCTCTGGGTCCCTGGCTAACCTCTCTGGATGTCATCCCTCCACCCATCTTGAAGCCTTGGGACAGTTGCTCAGAAACTCAAGTCCAAGAGAAGAGGGGTGCACCTGGTGACCTGGATTCACACATCCCCGCCTTACCCGCAAGAAATAGCCTGTGGAGAAGGACTGTGCTGGCTTTTCCACCTGTTCCCAATTCAAGTTGACAGGGGTGGGTGGGATCTCCTACGAGGGCCTAAAGGTAGCTCCTTCCCTGGAGTTCTAGAGACACTGAGACTCCTGCCCTGCATGGCCAGGAGTGACTGGGCCACTTTTTTCTATGGTTTCTTCACCATCTTTTACTTCACCCCAACCCCCTGTAGCCCGTCAGACTGGCTCCCGAGCGAGAATTCATCAAGTCCCTGATGGCGATTGGCAAGCGGCTGGCCACGCTCCCCACCAAGGAACAGAAAACACAGCGGCTGATCTCAGAGCTCTCCCTGCTCAACCATAAGCTCCCTGCCCGAGTTTGGCTGCCCACTGCTGGCTTTGACCACCACGTGGTCCGCGTGCCCCACACCCAGGCTGTTGTCCTCAACTCTAAGGACAAGGTAGGTGGGCTCTGGTCCAAACCATACCCCTCATCTGACTCTACTCCTGTCGTCCAGGGTGTGTGTATGTGCCCAGGGGTGCCCCACCAGCATCCTAGACTCCCTCCGTAGCTCACGTGCACGTGTCAGCCTTGACTTCACCTGAGTACTGTTGTGATTCCGAGGGCCCTCCTGTCCCCCTTCTTGGGCTTTGCTTTTCTGGATCAAAGAGGACTGATCTTCTCAGCTTGCCTCTTGCCATGTCTCAGGAGAGAGTTGCTCTCCTCCCCTCCTCACAGTCCTTTTCGTAGCTCTTCTCCAGCCCTTCTATAACTCTTAGGCTTTCCAGGTACAGCAACAATGAGAGTAGAGAAATCTTTGTTTCTAAGACCTTTTCTGATCACAGTGGGCAGGGAGAAGGAGAGAATTAGCTAAATTAGTCTGCTGTTGAAATGAGCACTAATGGTTCAGATTTTTTTCCCAGAAGACGTATTGAAGATTAGAATCCTGCTTGGAACGGATTCCCAACTTTTTCCCAGTCTCTTTGTCTGTTTTTAGGACAAGCCCACAGAGGCATTCAGGCCTCTCTGAATGGGTGGTAATTGATGGTTTGGAATGGTTTTGCCCGGGTGCTTCATCTATACATTTTGAAGCTCAGCTGAAACATTTTAAAGACCTGTGTACTCTCTCAGCCAAATTCTTTTTTTTTTAAGACAGTGATGTAACAGTTTTATTTTAAAATATCAATATTTGCATGACACCAGAAAGTATATACTTTGGCAGCCAACTTCCCATGAAAAATGTTAGCTGTCAACTTAAAACTGAGGGGATACATGATTTTTCAAAATACTTTTAGGAAGTACATAAGCAGAATAGTGTGTGGACCACTGCTTTACGAGACCATGTCCTGTTCAGTTTGGAGGACACCTCTTGTAGTAGAACCACCTGGGGAAGGTGGATGCCTTTTTAAAAATGCAGATTCCTGGGCTCCAGCCCCAGACTGAGTTACTAGATTTGGGTTGGGCCCCGAGTAAGTCAGTTTTCAACATGCACCCCAGGTGGTTCTCATGCAAACCAACATTTCAGAAGCACTACTTCAGGGGAAAAAACTAGTATTTTACAGTATTTCAGCCATGGCTGAAGAGGGCAACACCTCAGGTATGTTTTTAATTAAGGAGAGAACTGAAAGACGCTAAGAATTGGAGCTCACAAAGTAGCAGCACCCATAGGATAAGTTCCTGCCCTAAATATGGCATTCC